TTTGCTGTGATTGGTGTCTTGTTCAAGGGTGATAAGGTTCGAACGCGTTGATTGAAGATCCGGTTCGGGTGGAAATTGGGGCAGGTGTTTCTTGCAGAAAACCTTGAGGGTTTTACCCATCAAGACTAGAAGGTTTTGAGGGCTTTTGCTACGGAATAGTTCGTTCAACATTGAAGCAGGTGCGAAGGTAATTGATCAACGGAAGGTTCATCAGTTTAGTAGCGAGGGCGTTGAAGTGTTGAAGACTTTCCGGGTTTGATTTGTTGGTGTCTAAGATCAGCCGAGCCGAAGGTTTGAACAACAGAAGGTTTTTCATTAAGGTGGCTGGAATCGGAGATCATTCACAACAAATTGAAGGGCTTGATTCATCTTGAATCAAGGTGCAAGAAGTGATAGCAAGCATCAACATCATTTGAGATTGTTTGTATCATTGTCTATCAACTCTTGTGTAAACTGTTCATTCCAACAGGTGATATATATTCAATATATCTCAATTCTAATTTTAGAATTGAGGGCAGACGTACCCCGAAGCGAGGACGACGGGGGAACTGCCTCATCAAATCGTGTGTTCTTTAGTTTCTGTCATTTTCAATTCAGCTTATAAAATAAGTGATTCTAGCTTAAGTGATTATTGTCAAACTGTGATACAAATTGAGTAAGGTGTTGAAACTCTGTTTTTTAACTACTAAGTACAATAAAATTATTGTACTAGGACATTTCCAATCTCTTACTCAACATAAATATCCTTTTGAGGTATTTGTGCACACAAACTGTTCGACAAAAGTCCTGAACTAAAATTGTCTTATTTTACTTCTAGTTTTTGTGTGTCTAGTTAATCATTGGAACTAGGTAACCTTGCAAATTGAAGTAAATAATTGATAAGCATAGTTTGTGTTGTGATTTTATTTTTCCGAATTGTCATAAATCCATAGGCTTACGTATATCCGATTTTTCAATAACCGTTCGTTTTAGACTATATTTTTCCTCGGCCGCTTCCGCACTTAAAACATTTTTAAAACCAATTTCAAATTGGTAGCGCCGACTCAAATTTTAATTGGGGATCTATTCAACCCCCCCTTCTAGATCCGTGCCATAGTCTAACACATCTAAACACGACCAGTCAGCGATGCGCGGGAAGTGCTGGAGGGTCCAATCCCGAAATAAAAATAAAAAAGTATTCAAGGATCAAGAATTATCGCAAATATGAAATGAAAAAGATAAAAAAAAATAATCAATGATAAAAAATTATTACCACTAGTAAGGTCGTGCTGCTTGTGGTTTGCCTCGTCGTCCACCAACATCCATCTCTTTGCTTCAAATACAGATAGGTCAAGCAAGCCGCTCTCAGTTACACTCATGGATTTGTGTGAGATTCAAGAAGCATCGAAGGTATACAACGTCAGTATAGGTGGCACTCGTGTCCACAAAAAGCACAATGCCAACTAAAAATAAAAAATAACACCTCAAAGCATGACTTTTGTGGATCTCCACCTCTTGGGCATCACCATTAGCCTGCGTTGCAGCAACGAGCACCTCATCAAATATCTTCTTCAAGAATGAAAACCTAACATGAGCGCCCCTAGTCCTATCCACCTCGCTCAACGCCTTCACTAGTCTAGCCCCTAGATGCTCCACCGTCATCTCGACCGCCTCGTCTTTGGTCATCCTACCATGATAGAGAAATGTTCCTCTGATCGTAGATGTAACAAACACGAGACATCATCCAGTGTAATCGACATCTCACTGTGTGGATAAAAGGAAGACGTCTCAGAGTGTCATCATTCCATGAAAGCTCTCATTATCCCGTGGTTGACCAAAGTGTAACCGGTCAAGCATAGTTCACTCAATCCATAAGTAGTAAGAACCGATTGAAACCACTCTGCATCAGGCTGATGTAATGCTAAAATCTTCCGCCCATGGTTCAAAAACTTCTAGGGATCGCGCACCTGCAAATTTCTAGAAATAATCAATGTCAGCAAGAATCAATGTTAGAAATAACCAATGTCAGCAATTTAAATTAATGTAAAAAAAATATAGTAACAATGTGACTAATATTACCTCTTCGTCCCACATATGTCTGGCAATATGGTCTAGATACAAAGGAAGTAGGGACATATCAGATGTACCCCCTCCAAAAGCCTTTGGCTCGGCGTCAGCAACATCACCCTCCAGAGGTGGCACCGATGCATCACGATCAGCAGATGCGACCAGGTCAGCAAGAGGTGGCACCGAATCAACAAGAGGTGGCACAGGTACATTCCACCGCCTGCGAGAGGATGGAGGAAGTAACGCGTCAGCTGATGCATCTCGTGGTTTACGGGAAGAAGATGAAGAAGGTGGAGTGGGGCTGAAACGTAGATTGAATGGCATGAGATGTAGCTGGAGTGACGTGAGACGTAGATGGAGTGGCATGAGGTGAAGGATGAACCATAGGAGTGGACTGAGCTTCAGGAGTATATTGTACACCAGCAGTCGATGCCTTTCTCTGACCAGAGGTACCTGTTGCATCCGGACCTAGCTGTCTTCACTCTCGTCTAACGGATGTGTGTTGGGCAACCCGTTCATGCCTCAATCGGTCAGCTCTGTCATCCACTATGCCTGCAAGATATAATATAATTAATCATACAATGAGCTTACGAAGTAAGAAAAATTATAAAACAAAAAGAAAAAAAAATAGACAGAGAAAATTCTGGAGATACATCTTCTGAAAAATTCAACGCTTCATGTACTTTGGGTGATTCCGGATATACAACTACGGAAACATTCTGCAGATGTATCTCCAGAATCACATAAAGTACATGAAACGTTGAATATTTTCGAAGATGTATCTCCGGAGCATTCTGCAACTCAGAGGTTGCGCCAATGGCGTTCTCTGCCCCTTAGAATCACAAATTTGAGGCACTGGTCGTCCATTTGAGCCAACAAACAATACATGCAGTTACTCTAAACTATGTTTCATCTAATTTCTAAACATTTTGACACCTAATAATGAATTTTAACTCGTTTACCCGGATTATATGATTCAGAAAATGTTGAATGATGCATTGGATGCAGCTTGATGATTACTTGATCTTCAAATGGAAGAAATTAAATTTGGTGAAATTTGAAAAATTCAGGAATGAGAGAGATGAAGAGGTATGACAATAGAAATGAAGTGGGTGGAGAAGAGTCTGACACAGCAATATGCTCTAAATTGTTTCAGAGATATATCTCTAAAATATTTTAACGTTTAATTGATCTTGTGTGTCCGGAGATATATCTCCGAAATATCTTTAACGTTTAGTTAAAATAAGGTGCGTCCGGATATATATCTCTAAAAATTATAGACATTATAAGAAATCCGTATGATATCTAAAACACACAAAATTAGGAGAAAATCAAGGCTAATGTGAGACAATAATATTTGTGTTTTTAAGGCATATTTAACACTTTGAAGTTGGGACTGAGCACAACAAGAAACCACTTCTTACGTCAAAATCTAAACATTGTTAAATCATTTTCTTAAGCTCTAATTTTTGTAATTCTTCACTTAATACCACCATTAGATTATTAAGAAATCAATTATAACTTTTATGAAACCAAAAATCTTTAAGAGCATTCCCTATTATAAACCTACGATCAACTGTCATGCTCCTACGAGTTTGTGGATCACCATTAGTAACAAAGAAGTCATCCATTAGCTACCTTCCATAGAAAAATCCCAGTGTCTTCAGACCCGACTAATTCTAAAAACATTTGAACACCTTGATTGTTTTACCTTCTACTTCACTAAGTATAACATATGCATCCAAGGAACTCTATGACAAATATGAATATCATCATTAGAATTGGCTAAAAATATCCACTCTAATATCGATTTGCGGAGCTTATTTATAGGTATCTTTTACATCCTCCATTTTTTTTATTATAAGTCGTTTTTGACTTTTTACACATTAAAAAATATAATAATTTTGGTATGAAAAAAAAATTATAAAAAATTTTACAAAATTATTCTTCATCAATTATATTAAAAAGACAAATTTACATTGAATAATAAATATTTAAAAATATAATTAAAAAAATAATATTAATGATTAATTAGTATTATAAAAGGATTTATATTGTGATATAAAATATTTTTTAAATTTATAATAAAAAACGGAGGTAGCAGTTAACTATATCAATAAATCTTCCATTTTCTAATATCCTTGAGTTGCCAAAAATTAATTTGGAAACAAATTCCAAGCCTCCACCCAAGATTCTTATGCAACATATCGAGAGACTTACAATTCCCTATCAAAAGATGGAACCCTTACTCTTACCGTCACATTTGCTAACCATATTAATCCACAATTGTATTTGCTGAGAACAAATCTCATCCACATATAATGTGAACGACTATACAAATCTTAACCAACTTTCTTTATTCTAGTTGTATTAATAGTATCCGTTTATCTAAGACTTAACCCTCATAATTTCTAATGCTGATGTCGATATAATTATGATTATTCTACCACCAATTTTAGAAAAATTATAAAATCAAAATTTTTTTATATTATCAAAAATTTCAAAATTACTGGTATTAGAAATTTCAAAATTCTTCAAAATCTACTTCTACACCACCCTTAATGTGTTTTATTTCCTTTGTTTAGGAATGATTTGCATGCTATTTTATTTATTGATTTGATTTTGAATTACTTGTTGGGCATTAGAAATTTGCTAAACAAAGAAACAAATATAATCTACTTTCTCAAAACAAAACAAACATAGTTTGTTCTGGAAATCTCTTGAAAGGATCCAGAAAAGTGTTACCACTACAACGAGAAATATCTAGATACAGAAAGATCCTCTTGTTGAGAAAAAAAACTCTGCATTGCTTTATCAAATAAATTATCTCGACTGGACTTGATCGATTGCCAAGATGGCCTATGCTCAGCTCCCGATGCCAGTTAATTCCACCAGCTGTAATGGTATAATTTTGACTAGTTCGCCTAGAAAACAAATCATTACATGAACCCCCTTCATATGTTGTTGTTTAATTCCACAAACTTTTGAGCAATTGCATACTGTTGTTTTTCTTTGTATACTTCTATCAATGATTGTATTGCGCTGGATATCATTACTTTCTTTCGGTCTGCAATGGATTTATCTTGAACATCAACTGTGTCCTCAACAGATGAGCAAAGTTCCTTGAGCCAATCTTCAAGGATGGAAGCTTTCTTTAAATGAATAAAATAAAACGAAAATTAAGTCAAGAGAAAACTCCATCAGAGGCTATTTGAACAACCCAGAAAATACAATGTTCAGCATGCAATTAGGATAATCCCGAGGAAAACTGAAATTGCAAATGCATGATAGCATATAATTGTATAAGAAATAAACATAACTACTATTATCAAGTCATTCTGCCAAATTTGTCAAGGTAGCTTTTAGAAAACTATAGAGAAATTTAGTTTATTCAACCAAATCTGTCAAAGGTAACTTCCATGGTCAATCTCCGCATAGAAAACCAAATTTATTATGTGATGTGTTGTCCATACTCTGATTATAACTTCGACATATCATCACTTAATTGTGTGAAGACAATAGTCAGTCACTGATAAAAAAACATCACTATTCCTGAGTTTTGCATATCCCACCGATATAAAATACTTACCTGCACTAGAAAATCTTTTAACATTTGATCATTTGTACTTGATGTGAAGCGTAGAACGTGTAACATGGTCAAGGTAAGCTGCATTTATAATTGAGCAATACAATTAAGTAACAGCAAAGAAAAAGAAAATGATTGAACAATGCCATGTCTCCATAATTCAAAATCATGAATAAAATAAGAATGCTGTGCATGTTCGTTCAAAACTTCCACTTAAAATTCAGCACCATCTAGTTTTCAAAGTTATGTTTAAAATAGTAAGATTTCTTTTCAAAGTTATAATAGCTTCATAGAAATGATAAAGTTGCACAACACAGTTCATATATATGCAGCATAAAAAAAAAATTAATTCTATTGCTAAAAGAAGACTGAATTTATGGTAATGGCAACTAATAATCTATGGCTAAGCTAACTTACAACGATTAAAAAAAGAAAATGCTGGACAGTTAACTCACAACACTTAATGGAAAAATACACTCAAATTTCTAGGTAGTAAACCGGAGCTCTAAAGCCAATTTGAATGAAAAAGACAATATTATATCCACGAAATTTGAGTCGATACATAGTTGTGCAGCTTAGTGCCATATATTATATATAATCTAGATTGAATAATTACCAATTAATACATTTCTTAAAATAAAATTGGATTCATGGTGTACTGTCCTAAATTAAAAAGACTAAAAAGCGTCCATGAGTAGAAAATGTGGGACTGTTAACATCCAGTATAAATCACAGCCATCCAGAAATTCATGGTTAAATATATCATTTGACGATTCCAAAATGATCAGCTTAACATAACATTGATGAATATAAAGTATGACCTGTTTTTGTAATGAAACCCTATACTTGAAATTTGAAGGGCCTGAAGTTGAGTCCTGATCTATATTCTCCATTATATGCTCTATGGATCGCACAATATCTGAGAAGGATCGACCATAATCTGCTAAAACATGGGAGATCAAGTTATATTCAAATAAGGGCTTGGAAACCAAAGTAGTTTGAATGAAGTGAAATTAACCCGAACCAAATAAATTTTAACGAAAAGCAGGTAACAGAATGTCAGTCAAAATCATGGTTTACGTACACCTTAAATTCTAACGAAAGTGGGGATGAGGATTGAAATTTCAACCCTGACGTCAAATGGGTGTGGGGGCGGGAAAAAACGACCTCTGTCAGCGGCGGGGGAGGCAAAACTTGCCCCCAACCTTGCACCATTTGTCAAGAATTCTTGGCTTAATACTTTTCTCATTATTATTTCTCGTATATATAGAGGTTACAGGGCTATATTGGTAATTACACTAAATAATTACATTTTAATGAGAACAAGTCAATTTCTAATTTGTTTCCTTTATTCTAGAAACAAACCCTTATTCTAGGAACAAACCCTTATTCACATCCCCCCTCAAATGGATGCTGCTTGTCAATAAGCATCAATTTGCTAACAAGAAACTGATGACGTGGACGCGGAACAGCCTTGGTAAGAATATCTGCAATCTGCAACTGAGTACTGACATGAGGAAGTGATATGATTCGGTCATCATAAGCATCACGAATTGAGTGACAGTCAACTTCAATATGTTTGGTGCGTTCATGAAAAACAGGATTCGCAACAATTTGGATGGCACTTGTATTGTCAGCATAAAGCGAAGTTGGCTCTATTTGAGGAAATCCAAGTTCAGCCAAAAGACCACGAAGCCAAATTATTTCAGAACAAGCAGCAGACATGGCACGATACTCAGATTCAGTAGAAGATTTAGAGACTCTCGCTTGTTTCTTACTTTTCCATGAGATCAATGAAGAGCCAAGAAACATGCACCAACCAGTGACAGATCGTCGAGTATCAGGACACCCTGCCCAATCTGCATCACTATAAGCACTCAATTTAGGAGCAACTCCACTAGGAAAGAATAAACCACGATGAGAGCTTCCCTTCAAGTAACGAATTATACGACGAACTGCTGCCAAGTGAAGGTGGCGAGGAGAGTGCATGAATTGACTTACTTGTTGAACAGCAAACGATATGTCAGGGCGAGTAATAGTCAAGTAATTAAGGCTACCCACGAGTTGACGATACAATAAGGGATCAGGCAACAGATCACCATCATCACGATGATATTTAACATTAACCTCAAGCGGAGTATCCACTGGATTAGCCGATTGGAGACCAGCCATGGAAATTAAATCTGTGGCATACTTGTGCCGATTGATCAAGAATACGGCTGTGGAAAGAGCCTCAACCCAAAATCGGGATGGCACAGAAGCTTGAAGAAGTAATGTGCGTGTTACATCAAGCAAATGACGATTCTTTCGCTCTGCCATCCCGTTTTGTTGAGGGGTATTGGGACAAGACCGTTGAGACAAGATCCCTTTTTGTTGAAGGTATTCCTGAAATGCATGAGACATATACTCACCTCCCGAGTCAGATCGAAAAATTTTAACACTTGCTTGAAATTGATTTTCAACATATGTCAAAAACTTCTGAAACATAGAAAACACTTCAGACTTAGATCTAAGAAAATATATCCAAGTAAAGCGGCTGTAATCATCAATAAATGTGACAAAATATTTATAGTGAGCATGAGATGTTGCAGGAGACATTCCCCACACATCACTATGAATCATCTCAAAACAAGTAGAAGCACGATGAGCGCCTGACGGAAAAGGGAGGATTTTACTTTTAGCCAATTTGCAAACAGAACATGAAATAGGAGTAGTACACGCATGTTTATTTCCCAACAAACCAGTTTTAAATAAATGAGACAAAACAACAGAATTTGGATGGCCTAATTTTCTATGCCAATCCTCATAAGAGTTCAAAACAGTATTACATGCAAAGGATAAATGACTAGAACTAAACTGGAGTGGAAACAATCTTCCCACTTTAGGCCCCTTCGCGATCACCTTTCCCGACACCTGCTCCTGCACAAGACAACCAACACGAGAAAAACTAACATTACAATTGTTATCCACCAATTGACCAACCGACAATAAGTTGGAAGCAAGTCCGGGTGATACAAGCACGTCACGAAAGTTTGAGTCTATGTCACCAACATCAGTGATAGAAAGTTTATTACCATCAGCAATTTGAATTTGCTGATTACCATTATAGGAATGTACATTTTGTAAGTATTTAGAGGAACCCGTCATGTGATTGGATGCACCAGAATCAAGAAACCATGATTGAGAATTATTAGAAGACTTACCCTGAATTCCCAAGGCTGAAAGAGCAGAAAGTACCATTTGGTGAATCATTTCAGGTTGTAGAACACTACCGGTACCAGTACTGAGAGGACCAACTTCAGAGTTGGTAGTGGCATGGAATGCTTGAGTTGGACGTTGTACTGGTCGGGGAGGACGTGTGGGACAGTCAGAGATGATATGACCCTGTTGTTTGCAATAGTTGCAAAACTTCTTACTGCAATTGCGAGCTACATGTCCAAATTGTTTGCAAGAAAAACATTGAACTTGTCGCATATCACGACCCTTTCCTCTACTTTGAGCAGCATATGCAATTGCCACAGGTTCGGAACTAACAGCATCATGAGACATGGTTCCTTGCGTAAGTAGACGTTGTTCCTCCCTTAGAAGTTCACCGACACAAGTATCCAAAGAAGGAACAGGATTCCTATTGAGCAAAGCGCCTCTAACAATCTCGAATTCTGGACGAAGTTTCATGAGAAATTGATCTCGCCTACTTGTGTCGTAGACCTCTTGAACAGCAGTGAGAGAGGTTTTGGGAACATTAGCATGTATAATAGCAGAGTGTTCTGTCCAGAGATTCAGAAAACCAGAATAGTATTCTTGAATAGGTAGGTCACCTTGTTTGTAGTTGGCTATGTCTAGCTCCAATTGAAAACGTTTTGCCGAATTGTCCTGGTTGTAAATGCGCTTAAGATAATTCCATATTTCTTGAGCAGTTGAAAAGGAGCGCAAATTATTTATCATCTGAGGATCAATACTATTGAGAATCCAAGTGATGATTTGAGCATCTTGAGTTTCCCATACATCTGAAGCAGTTTTATCCGTCGGGGCCTTAGAAACACCATCTAAGTGACTCCATAATCCCTTTCCTCTAACATACATCTTGAATTGAAATTCCCAAGCCGAATAATTCTTGCCGGTGAAACGAACACAGAAGTTATCTCTTTCTTTTTCGGAAGCCATTGAAATTATGTTGTAATTAGATTCAACCTCACTATTGATGTATTACTATAATAATTATTATTATTATAATACTTATTATTATTATAATAACAACCTGCAACCAAAAGGAACAAAGCTCGTGCAGTACCACCAATATATCCCAAGAACAGTACCACTCGTGAAGCCGTAACAATTCCAATGTTTCAATTTGGAATTAGCGGCGGAACCAAATTATAACCACAAACCACAAACCAAATTAAAACAAAATTATAACCACGAAAAACAAACCGGTCACGACCTAGAATCAATATTCGTGAAAGGAGGATCGCAAACAACCGAAGTAAGCCGAAGCCCTAAACCCAGAATCACGATGGCAGTCGACGCTAAACGAATTCCACGGGGAACGATCAAGAACCAGAAACGAAGAAACAACAAACTGAATTGATCAGGATGTTGTCACAGAACCAAGAGAAAAAAATCAGAACCAGAAAATCACAGGTTTGATCTACGAGGCTAATACCATGTCAAGAATTCTTGGCTTAATACTTTTCTCATTATTATTTCTCGTATATATAGAGGTTACAGGGCTATATTGGTAATTACACTAAATAATTACATTTTAATGAGAACAAGTCAATTTCTAATTTGTTTCCTTTATTCTAGAAACAAACCCTTATTCTAGGAACAAACCCTTATTCACACCATTGCCATATTGTGTTTATGGGAAGAGGAAGAGGGAGAGGATAGGGTGGAGTAGGCGTTTCATAGGAATGGTTGATTGTCGTTGCCAAAGGGATGGATGAGATGGGGTGGAAGAAGATGAAATCAAAAGGGTGGTTTTAATAAATTTGATATTAAAATAATATTTGTGTCCATATCATATATTCATTTGACATGTTGCACTGCATCAGCCAAAGTTACACGCTGGCCTCATAAATTGACAAAAGGACTATATTGGATTAACATAGGTAACTCGGGAACAAAAAATTAAGGGACTAAATTGAACCTTAAAAATAAGATACGGGACTAAAAAGCTAATTTGGCCTCTTTTATTTTTCTATTCGTTTTCAGGTTGTTTTTTCTTTCATATCATTGTTTTTTTTTACCTTTCTTTTAAAATATATTGATTCTGGGATTAATATATGTAGATTATTCATATAATTAATTCAAAAATATATAATCAGGCCAAAAAATTATTCTGCTATCCGCTATCTCGATTAATAACTCTGCATAACACTAGATAATAGATATGATAAAATGACACTTCTATCTTAAAAGAAGAAAAAAAAACTTAAAATTAAAAAATACCATATTAATTTATCAGTTCACAATTACCCACACTTTTTAAGTGAAAGCTTAAACAAGATAAGAAAATGACAAATCCAAATTAATGATAAGAAAATACATTACCTTGCACCGACAAAGGCACAGCCAATGCTGCAGCAGCTTGTATTCTGATCTTATAATTAGATGAATTATGTAATAGCTGCAGAAGGATGCCAAACACAACCGGCGCCCTGTAGACATTGTTCCAAGGCCATAGTTTATTTTGATGTTGGAGGGTTTTAATCTTTTAGGTATATAGGGAGGAAAAATATAACTTTGAATTATAAAATTGGTATGATATGAATGATATAATGTTCGTTGTTACAGAAGACGAAGCACTAATCCTTATTCTTATTAATACTAATATTAAACTCTTAATTTTATAAAGTAAGGGAACAAATCATAGTATGCAACTTAAATTTGAAAACTGATTCTAAGAAACAATCTAAGATACTCTAACGCACTAATGATGTGGGGACATATTTTCTCGTGCTCTAAAACTCCCTTTCAAGCTAAAGCAAAGCTTAATAAGATTTATAAAAATAAAGGCATAGAAAATTACCAAACAATACAATTTTGGATCAGACATACAAGACCAAAGAGGTCAAAATTTAGAGATATTGCAGAAGAAAATTGTGCTTGATGACACAGATAAAATATGAAGACCCTACAAAGTTATTTTGTGAAAATAAATCGCCTCTTATTATTATTGCTCATAATCTTATTCGCCAAGACAGGACAAAACACATAAATCGACACTTCATCAAAGAAAAACTGAGAAGTGGATTGATAACTAAAAACTTCCAACATTTCTTCTAAGCACTACTTGGAAGATGTGTTAACAAAATCCCTGTCCATGTAACAAGGTAGCCAATTTATTTGCAAAATGGGAATGAAATATATCCACTCACTAGCTTGGGGAGGATGATAGCCAATTTATTTGCAAATTGAGACTGATAGATATCCATCCAGTAGCTTGGGGAGGATTGCTCTAAAAGTAAAATATGTAACTATCTGATTTTTTTGCATTAGGCCCATTAGTCAGAGTTTTCCTATATATTGAGATTAGTGTTTACATACTTAACTCAGTTAATAATGTTGGATTACAGTATTAGTTTTACTATTTCCTGCGTATTTTATTTTTTACTTTTACTACGAGTTTCTAGTATTTTCTATTCTAATTAATGTGCCTTGACTCAAAGAGGTGATTAGTACTCTTTCTATTTAAACCAGCTAAAGCTGAGGAATAAGTCATAATAGTATTCACCCCTTATTTTCTAATAAATAATATTCATAACATGTTTCTACATATAGAACAGAAGCTAGCTGGATACGGGACTATATGCTACAGCTACGGCTATTAAGAAGATGTGAATGATTAATTTCTATATTCTGATTTTCTGAGCTAAGATTAGTACTTATAGTACCTAGAATAAAAGACAGTTCAGTAACTGCTTGTAACAGAATTGTTCAGCTAGCCCTAACTGCTAAAATGTCATAGCAGGTATTAACTATTAACTAATATAAACATGCTTAATGGTTTTTCTACTCCGATACAAACAGAAACAGGTTATAACTCATGCACTCTATCACAAGTAGTTGATGGAGGTGAAAAAGGCAGTGGCAGGAAAAATGTAAGTAAATGAGGCAGAAAAACATGGGACACTTAGGCTAGGGATGAGGGGGTCAAAGAAGGGGGTACTATTTATGCAACAAGGTTAGAGTTTGTGGAATGTATCGGTCTGAAAAGAGAAAGATGAGTTGTTCAAAGGAATGAGTATGACAAGAGAAATATGATTGAAGCAGGAGGCTAAAAATGCTCTCCTGTGGGGGTGCATGCAGAGTTGGATCTTGTACACTGTAAAAATTATGTGAGGAAGGTCAGTAGGCAGTTTCCAGGGCCAATCCAAGACTGCCTACAGTTGAATCTCACTGCAAAAGTTTGTTGCTGACGGTGGAGGACAGCTAAAAAAGTATCCAAACAGTGGAGGAAGCCAGTGATGGAGGCACAACTGTGAGCACACGGAAAAAAAAAAGGACCATCTTCCTTTAGATTACAGATATCATGGTAAAAGGGCAGAGGGTAAGGAATTGGATTTGTGTTACACACAACTAAACCTACTCATATGAGTGCAGTAGTTCTGACACTGATACAAAATACTTCATTGATGCTACAAATTACAATATCTAATATCTAAGAGAAGAATAAAGACATGCAGCGTGTGCGCGTGCGTGAGAAGCATAAGATGCATGTGTTTAATTCAACATACCAACTCATGTCCTGCAGTCTTAACGTCTCATTCAAGAATAGGTTTCCTAGAGCATGACAAACATTCCATTGAACCTGAAAAACAGAGACTCGTGATTCAAGAATGAAATTTACAAGAAATCAAATTTACTTTAAACAATCAAATTAAAACAACATAATCTTGGTACCTTAACATTCCCAGTAGTAATGCAGGAAATAAATGCCTGAACTATTTTCTCCAGCCTATGAAAATCTTCAAGGGAATCCAATAGGCAACGCCGTTTACACATCATTGGATTCTCAGGGTTGTGCACAAACGTATCTTGAGATCTTGGCGTTGAACAATTGAAGATTTGTGAAATATACCCAAGAGCCCTCACAGCATTAGATTTAACCTATTAATGACAAACACAAATTAATAAAACAAGAATTAAAGACAACTTTGTTAAAAGGAGTCAAATATTCAAAGTATAAGATATACCTAATAAATCTATACAAACAAAAATAATTCATTAACATAAAAGATATGACTAGAGGAAACAAAGAAAAGGAATAAATCTACCTTATCCCCATCCTCTGTAAGACGCAAAGCACATTCGCTCAATGATACAATAAACTGGGGGTTGGAGTTTGAATCTGCAAAAAAGATTCATGATAGAAGAAAATTAAAAACGAAGAATTCTGGAATGCAGTCTTGATACCAAATGGTTGACTATTGATTCATAGACCTCAAATTAAGCTCACCCTCACCTATCTGTCCAAAGTGAAGAATTCTAACACAGTGACGAATGGCATCACATATATTTGCCAATGCCCATGAAGCCGTTATCCTAACCTGATGTAATAAAATCTCTAAATTCCAGCATACATAGCATTGAAGTACGTAAGGATGTATCTAGTTAAAAACGTAAGCAGATCTTACAGAGATTAGGGCATCTCGAGTGTTTATCTCAATAGCATGAATAAACTTGTCAAGTACCTCTGCACTAAAGATATTATTGAAATTTTTAGTTTGACTCTGATCAATTTGATACCAAAGGTTCAAAAGGATTTCATAATGTTGAATATTGACACTGCTACAAGTTTTAGTGTAACCTCTGACACACTTGTGGAAAACATGAAATGACTCCAATAGCTCGACAGGCAGCAGACCTCACTGATGATGCGTTATCATGAACAGCAGTGTGGACCTACACAATATTTGCAAGGAATGGTGTCAGTTAATTCAGTACAATTCATGGCATTGGGAAGGTTATGTATCATACTTACTAAAGAAGACAAAATGAAGTTCTGCTTCTCCTTTGTGAAAGAGATGAACACAGACGAAGTCATTCCCGCAAAACATGTAACTGACGCAGCTCTCACCTTTCAGGAAAAACAGAAAAAGAAGACATTCATTAAAGACAAATTTCCTATGCAATAAGAGATATACAATTACCATTGGAATATATCAGCACTAGTTTATTAGTCATGTTGTCTGTAGCATAGTATGTATTGTGCATGTTTTATCACACTAGTTCCGATGTTTTAAGTTTGTTAGTACAGCTTAGCTAATAGAATGTGTTATAATAGAATTTGTTAGATATTAGTTTTTTATGAGAACATAAAATTATCTAATTAGGAGGATAACAAGAAAAAACTGAAGTCAAGACTTTAGAATAACTTTTCATTCTATTTTTGTTTAATTTGAATTGTAGTAATTTTATTATAGTTAAGTAGTGTAATCCTGATATGGGCCTAGATAGTTGGCCTAATGGGCCCATTTAGTAATGGGAGAATCTTTCTTTAAATACTTTTGTTAGACTCTCATTTTCTAACTTTAAGATGAATTAGAATTCTCTCTAATGAGCTGGTGAGTGAGATTTTCTCATTGAATTATTGGATTAGAACTTGCTTGAATCATATCAAAGGTTTTCTTACCATTGTGGCAGTTCTCGTCTTGGCTTTTCAATCATCATAAATTCATAATTATGGCGCCTTCCTTCTTCATCCCCTCCACCTAGTCCATATTTGCTTGTTTGTTTATCCCATTTCATTTTCTACTTGGATTCAAGAAACTATTTGATTAGATCTTTCTTCTGATATGGAATCAACTACATCTTTATCAAGTGGTATTCAGAGCTTGTCACCTAATGTTTTGTGTTCTTGATGTTTCTGAGAAACTTCAATTTGTAGCATCTTTTTTATCCAAATTTTGTGCAAGCTTGAGTTACTAGGGTTAGAGTATGTGTAGGAATGTTTGGTTTGGTGATTACTTGAAATGTAGAATTCTAGGGTTGCTCGATTTTCGCTTTGCAAAACAAACGCAACTTCATCACTCGCAACTGTTGAATCCAAAACTTCTTTTTGCAAACTTGTTTTTTATGCTATTTCTTCTATACATGTCTGATTCTGGAAATTCAAAAATCTAAATTGATTTGAAAAATGAGAGGAATTCAAATGTATAGAGAAAAACCTGAAAAGACAAGTGCTGAAAAAAAGGTGATTCGACACAAAAGCACTACAGAAAAGACATTTTACCAAAATCAAGAATTGTTCAATTTGACATATCCAGTTTGCGCCATTGCTGCCTCTATTAGACATTTCATATTTGATTTGAGTATGTTACCTCTTACATATTTGAATCACTTAGCCTTTTAACTCTAATCTTTCTTGATTGCTTCCATGATAATCTATTAGCCTTTTCTAATTTTGAGAGGAATTAGAATTTCCTATACTAGGAAAGGTGAGAGAAACAGTTAGTCCAAAGGTTAAAATCAAAGCCAAGGACCAACATTCAGAAGCTATTGTGTTAAAAGGCAAGGCATAACAAATTTCTTTAAGCCATGACTTAATTAAGTTAGGATCTCTTTTTATACAAGCGTGTAAGAGTTCGTTCTTGTTGAGTATAGACTAAAACACCCTCAAATTCCAACATCTACTTACACAGTGCCTGAACTTTCTTTTGGGTTTACTCTGGTACCAGACATGGAAAGTTGTCCGAGTTAGCAAAGAAGTAAAACTATTTTATAGTTGGAGAATCCGTGTATATTTTTTTCCTTTTTAATTATTTCTAGATGCTTCTAGATATTTGCATCTGTTTTTCATTTTTTTTATTTTCCTTTGTAACTGTTGGACTTTCCGCCTTAATTGCGGTCCGTCCCTAGTCGCCTTAATTGCGGCACTTTGGCTTGCCTTCATTGCAGCCCCTAACACCATTGTGTTGGCTTTAAAGGGATGGATTTAGTCCCACATTGCTTAGAGATATGACATGTGTTGTGTTTATAAGTGGGGGCAATCCTCACCTTACAAGCCGGTTTTGTAGGGTTAAGTTAGGCCCAACCCAAATTCTGAGATGGTATAAGTCCCATATTGGTTGGAGATAGAGCATTAAAATAGTTTATATAGAGTGACATCTCTCACCTTAACAACCGGTTTTGTAGGGTTGTGTTAGGTCGAACTCTAATATGGTATCAGAGTCTATCAATCGGACCTTGGGCAATCCACCGTTTAAAAATCCACGCACCAAGCCCAAAAAGAGTGTTGGGCGTGAGAGGGTGTGTTAGGAAGATCCTAAAGTCCCATATTGGTTGGAGATAGAGCATTAAAATAGTTTATATAGAGTGACACCCCTCACCTTACCAACCGGTTTTGTAGGGTTGTGTTAGGCCAAACTCTAATAGTAATTATTTTCTCCTTGATTCAAGAAAAATTAATTGTACCCTCTCTATGAAACCAGCCTTGGGCTGAGGAGTGAATCAATATTGCATTCACCACTTATTTTCTAGTAGTTAATTGATAAAAATCAAATCAAATAATAAATAGTTGTAAAATATCTTAAATAGGCTTGTTATGCAAGATAGGAAATAATTCAATTATATAATATGAAACTAAAGGAAATAAAATTTATACCATTGCAGAGGAGTGACATAAGATAAGAGGCATATGCTTCTCCATTGCATCACACCATTGCTCAATTCCAGATTCACATTCTTCAGAGTTAACTACAGCATCCTCTTTGCACTCTAGTTCATAAGATGGAGCAGATGATACCTTCTTCAACCTAATGCAGTCGGATGTAAAAGGAACATCCACAACTTTATCATCTGAAAGATCTTCCGTTCCTTGAAATCCAGACACAGCACGAAGACACTCGTCTAGAACCTTCAAAATTTACATACATTTTATCACAGACCAAAAAACTATGGAAATATCATACCACTGAAAAAAAGTCCAACACAAGAAATATTTTGAAGCACAAAGAAGAATATCAACACGCTGATGAATCATCATGCCGCATTAGCAGCATAGTTGTTTGAGAGGAAAATTTGTTGGGGTTCGGGGAGCACCGGAAGTGTCAAATGGGTCAAACATTCAAGATCCAAGAGACTTTGTCACCACATATCCACCCAAAACCTCAAGGCATTAGGGGTATGGGTCATTTCTCTTATAAACCCAACATACTGTGTTTAGCACTCTTAGATAAGAATACAGAGAATCTAATCACTTTTTATGTATACAGCACTCTAATAGAATAGATTACTTAGTATACACCATTTAATCTAACAAGCACGAAGGAGGTTGAGAGGATGTTTCTGGGACAATTAAGCATTTAAGAAGAAATAGAATAAAGGGAAAAGGAGGAACGATGAAGTCATTACCTTTATAGCAGCAATAAGAATTTTTTCGTTAATAGATGATGTTGTACTCCCAGCATGTTCATTTGACTGCTTTGAAGGAACTTCAGGACATACAATACTAAGGAAACTATATACAGTTGAAGAAACTTGTCCCCAACATGTAGTCACTATGCTAGGGTAATTGTGGGATACAGCTTTAAGTGCCTGAAAAAGATTATTCTGAACAGATAAATAAAATACAATGACATTTTCACATACTATTGAATAAACTATGGATAAAGCATATCAACCAATAACCACTACCTTTAAATTTGAATACAATTTCTATGACAAAGGCAATTAACCAATTTAGTTACACAAACCTTACTCTTCAATTTTGCAGTAAGCCATGAAAATCTAGTAACCTTATCCAGAAAGAAAATAAATACTCTTTTAAAACAGATGACAGTTACAATATTTCAATACAGTATACCATTTATAAGACTTAAATTGACATTGTCCCATTAAGTCAGTTCAATTGGTAGTTGTGCAAGGACATCAGACTATTGCAGGGGCGTGAGTTTGAACCCTCTACATCCCACTGAAATTACGGCCACTAGACTACTTGACCCAAAATAAAAAACTTTAAATTGGCATTTAGAGACATGTCCGGGATAAAGTACGATATCGGTACTTAATGCATAAAAAAATGGTAGTTGTAAGAAAATAAAATTCCATAAACCAAGTATTTGGATTCCTCACAATTAGATATGTATTCTATCTGATCATTATTATAAGCAAAAAGAAAATTAATTTCACAATATTTAAAATTAACTTTTTAGACTTCATGTAGTCAAAGTAAAATTCACTATTTCGAAAGTAAAAAAATTAAGAGTATAGTATTAGTTTATCTCCCGGACGCACCCATGTTTTTCAATTGATTTTGCTTTTTTGAAATGTTAAAAAAGAAGAACATCACCATTCCAAAAGTTATCTTTTGGAACCCAAGTAACATTGTCCGGAAGTTATCTTCCGGTCACATTGCTTTAACTTTTACTGAGTAAGGCCAAATGAACAAAATGGGTGCATCTGGAACTTCCGGACACATTCCTTTTACTTTTACTAAATGAGTTCAAATAAATGACAGAGTGAGCATCCAGAAAATAACTTCCAGACACACTCCGTTAACTTTTACTGAGCGAGATCAAATGAACTACAAAGGGTAATGGGTGCGTCTGAAAGATAACTTTCAGGCAGAAATATTGTAAGAGTTTCATAGGGTTCGTAAGAAATTCAGTAGGTGTAATGAGAATTCCCCTATTTTTCATTGGTTTGGGTTGAGTCAAAACCCCGATGATGAGAGGGTTGGTTTGACTAGGATCTATGGAACAAAAAAATTGATTAAAAAATCCAATACCTAAACTAAACTCTTTTTTTACAAGTTTAGACTAAATTTTACAATTTAAAATTTTAACAGTTTAATTAAATTGAACCACTTTTTAATCAACATAAATTCTTAATTATATTAACAAAAATTTTAAAAATTCATATTTTTTAAGTTGGGTATGCAAGTTAATATATATATATATATATATATATATATATATATATATATATATAGGGTTTTGCTAGGATACATCCACCTATTTTTATGAAGGTGTGTTTTAGCAAATTTTAATTAAAAAATGGTTAAATGCACTCTAAGGTGCATGTTACTAAAACACACCTTCTAAAAAGTAAGTGTGTGTCAGTTGACATCTACTTTAGGCGTTTTCTATAATACATCTATTTATTTTTTAGAAGGAGTGTGTTAGCAATTAATAACTAAAAATTCATTAAATACACCCTAAGGTGCATGTTGCTAAAACACACCTTATAAAAATAGGTGGGTGTATCCTAGCAAAATCCACATATATATATATATATATATATATATATATATATATATATATATATATATATATATATATATATATATAATTCTTAGTGAACATGTGTGTCTAAACCCATGAGGCACGGGTTCACTCACACCATGGGATTCCAACTTTTTAATTTGATGTAATTGCACTTTTGGTCTCTCATGTAAAATCCAAGCTAGCATCTCCACACACGCCACATCAAGGAAAGCCCAAAAAGAACTACAAAAGTGCCACGTAATCATTTTCCATTAGTAAATGGACGGAGGACTAACAAAGGGACCTAATTGTTAGTGGTGGTAAAGTTTAGTGACTCAATGGGCGCAATTGGAATTTGAGACATGAAATCACACAACAAAAATAGCTAGGAAGCTAAAAGTGCAACTAAGCCAAAAATATATATTAATAGACAAAAAAAGTGTTGTTGAACGGTCTGAGAAAGATTATGCTCTCAATTTACAGCCTTTTGCTACTGGCTAACTAACAGTCTGTAACAGATTCTAACTCTAATTCTGCAACAACGTCAACACATGCAGAAACACCTTAACAAAACGGAGACTGCACATTTCACTCAGCAACTTATGCTAAAAATATGTTCTCTGACAAGATTACCTGAAGGGCTTCAAGGCAAATGCTTGGGGAACTTCCTTGTGATGCATATTCAAATAACAAAGAAAGAACACCCGGCTTCTTTTCTTTTTCGAGATAACCTGAAGGAAAACCAACAATTGCAGACATGAAGCCAAACCAACAGATAGCAGTATCATATATCCAAAATCAAATCAGTAGAATATGTGGAGCAATATCACAGCATTGTTGACTCATGAATCATATATCCCAAAGCAAAACAAAATTCTATAAGCAAAGCCCATTGGAAAGAGTGGTAAAGCTTAAGTGAAAATAAAATGCTATATGGCTAGTGTAAGAAACAACATTTCTTACATTTAGCAATTTTTCTAATGATAAAATATTTGAATATGCTCAGGCTTAGAGGTGATTAGCTCTAAGAATTTCAAGGATATGTCACGCAACATGCCGAATCAAACATCTTCATATTCCCTGTTTATGAATGAAGTCATAAAGTTGACCCCAGATATTTCAAGGATATGCCAAGCAATATGCATAATCTAACATCTTTCCATTCCTTGTTTAGGAATGAAATCTCAAAGGTGACATCTAGGATTCATTGCAATGCCTAATCAAACTCTGTGCATCATTATTACATATAATTAGATTGAACACTATTCCATAGGTAACATCCAAGCCTAGTGACGAATATACTAAATAATATCCCAACAACCTTCAAACTATAAAAACCCACCACAACCACCTCATCAACCAAATCCCCCACCCCCCACAACCTAGGTTTTTCATCATTAATGCAACACCAATTCAATTAAACAATACACAAAAATATCATTTCCTATGCATTCACTATTAATCAGGTATGTGACTGTATATCTATCTCAATCAAAATAACTGAAAACATTCAAATGAAATACACATTCAAGAATTATGTGAACAAAAAATAAGAATGAACGAATATTCATAAGAAATATTCACATCTAGAGCAATGGTTGATCTAAGATTTTAGACCATTTCTTTTATTTTAAATGATAACTTATTCAATTACTTTTAACATCAAGAGTACTATAAAAGATACCTGAGGAAACTTCATTGTAGAGCAACTTCTTTACTTGAGCAGAGGATGGTGAGGAAGACAGAGCTAATGTCAAACAACCAACTGCAGCATCCTGCTAACACGGGTCATGTCAAACACATATTACTGTCCCAGAAGTTCTGGGTCCAGAAGGACCCAATAATTTGGACAATCATACAACTAACCAGCAGATTATTCCGGTCGCTTTTGGACCGAAACCCTTCTTCAATCCTCGTCCTAAGAGAAGTAATAACAGTAGGCAATAAATTTGGTGGCATTCTCGAATATCTGGCAAAAAAATTATTTCAGTGAGGAAAATAATTAATTTTAGCACAAATAGATAAAAGACTGAAAATCCAGTGTCAACTGTCAACAGTAAAGATAGCATAATTAACCAGTTTACATTCAGAATGAAGACCGAATGTCCCAAGACTAACTCCTAGAAATTAAGAAGCAAATGTGGTATTGGTGTAATTAATGCTATTAAACATTTTTGCATATATTAAGCATAACCAACATCTTTTTTTGTAATTAATTATTTTGTTATTCCCTGTAATTATTGAATGTTTAACCTACTTCCTATATCTTTCACTATTCTCACCTAGCACTACAACTTTTACAAGTCCTTAGCCTCTTGCATTTTGCGCAAGCTGCAAATACTATTCATATATTCCTTCCCAACATAGATCCCTATAATATGAAATAATGAGCGGTCTGACACTAAAACATAAAGAAGTTGTGATGTAAAGGCGGTAGAAGATAAAAGCATTAATAGCTGGCTTATCTGTATAATTTCAACATGTTTTGATTAAAATTTGTGGCTTAAGAATATGTGAGTAATTCTGTCAGATTTACATTAATCAAGTAACTGTCATATATAAGGGGAAAACTTTTCTCACACTTTTTCCTGCTACTAACTTCCTGTACATAGCTTACTTTTATAATTCAATTCTAAATTTCCCTCACAACCTACATGAACAGGAGGTTGAATGTATTAGAATGAGATATGATTAGATATAAACATTAATCTAATTTTGTGTTCGCCACATATTTGGTACATCGCTTAATTATCTATTTGAATTTCAAATTTGCAATTCCCGACTTTTCATCCCCGGGTTTCATTTTCAATTGTTTCAATCTCAACATTCAGTAGTACACTCCCACTTATTAAATGGTGACAACAATGAGCATTGAGAAAACCATTAGGCAGTGCTGTTCAATTACAGATGGAAGTTGCTGAGCTGGTAAAATTGTTGATTATAGGGGTACCCCACTTTCCATTCATTCATGTTATCTTAGTTAAACATTTATATAATCACCTTATCCGCCTCCTACAGTATTTCAAATGACGCGGAAGAAAATCCCAACTCCGACCATAACAGAACGCATTGTGAGATTAAATAAAATATATTGATGGTGCTGGAAGCAAAGAGACATACGGTGTATGTAATATCAAAAGCCTGATAATTTTGAACAACAATGCCAGCAATTTACCATGAGCTTCATTCTGTATTAAGTAAAGAATACCTGCAGTAGAAAAAAATGGAAGAGTGAAAATCAAGTAATCCATGGAAAATGAAGAGTCAATAATGTTTTAAAGAAGACAAATTTAATAAAAAAATAACTGTTTGGGCAACTACGGAATTAAATAAGATACTGCAGATGTTTTAGCTACCTTTATGAATTTCCAGTAAAATTTGCCCAAGGGAGCTTGAAAGTGCCGTAAAAGATCCAACTTTGCTAGATTCTTTGTACTCTGCTGCTTGCAGAAAAATGGAAGATGGACCATCCAACATGGCCGCTAGTGTTGACGCAGATGCCATACGTGCCTATAGCATAATATAACCTTTTCTTATATGCAATACAATAGACTCATTACAAATGTTTATTTTAGAAAGGAAACAAATATGAGCTCCAGAGAAGTGGGTTGTGTGTGTATATGACAAGAGATGCAAGAGTTGGTGAAAATGGGAAAGTGCTAAATGCAGAGAAAATGCCAAAGAAATGGTTATTACATAACAATATTATACATGTTATTAAGAATTATATACAGTATAGTATTTATTTAACATGAGAAGGAATTAAGTTACCGCAAGAGTATTAAATATTACATACTCCTACATTGTTGTAAATAAATACTTTGCTATTGTTATTTTTAGTATTATTAGTATTAATTCATGTTTTGGATCTTTAATAAGACCCATTAGGTTAGAATACTCTATAGAGATTAGTGCTTGTATATTCAACATCTCAATAAATAATACAGATTCTAACATACACTAATATAGTAAAAATATGCCGTACAGTGTATTATATAATATAATAATAATAATGTATATTATAAAGAAGTATCTATGCAAAATTTATATTGTTTTACGTGTGTTGTCAATTGCCCACCAAACAGCATACAAGGCAAAGAGTTGGTTGTGACATAAGCATTTGTCTTGTATTGTTCTCTCAGAAATGCGACCAACATCGTTTGTTATCTTCAACAAGAATTTCAATGGGATTATTGAATTTAAAAGATAGTACCAAAGCAAGAGTTCTAACTGTCGAGCTTCTCTATAATGGAACTGGAAAAGGTGACAGGAGTCACCGGAGAATACCATTGCAGTTGAAGCAGAGTGACATGAATTATCAGCATATAGATGATGGGATTTCATAGTGGAGGAGGGAGAGAACCAAAATTTTCAGAGCCCATTAAGGGGTCTGACCAAACTCTAGATACCATGTTAGAACTATGGCAGGAGAGGCTGAAGCATTGATAGAAAATTAATGTTCAAAAACAATAACTATACCAAGCCCTACTTATCGAGTTATAGATTCTAATAACCTGCAACATATGTAAAATAATAGACTATTATTAATAGTTGTAACTAACTGAAGGTAGTTCAGCTAGTTACAGAATCAGAAGATTGTAGAACATAATACAAAGCAAATGTAAAATAAAATAATAATTAAACCGAAGCATACTAAAGCTTCAAGTAACAGCACATTCTAATTAAAAATAAAAAAAAAGATACAACAACGAATGGTATGTTTGGTACTGCATCTGCCTTAATTTTTTCACATCCCAAAGCTACTTCAACGCAAAAACAAACACATGCTAAATTTAAAAATAGAAAATTGTTGTTGGGAAACCACTAACACTCGAGGTGAAATCTACAACAAAAGTGAGACAGCCATACATAAATATCTAGAAAAGTTGTTACCTTCAAACAAGGATCAAATAGCAGGCAAGTCATTAAAGTTGCATCACGCATCCTAGGAATATGCAAATAAAACAAGTATATGGTCAGAAAAAAACCAAAACAAAGTCAAATGGCATGAGACGAGAAACATGATGGTAGAAATTAGAATTAAATGCTAGAAGAATGCTCAGGCCATACCTTGGTTGTAGTACATCACTGGTTGGCAAAAGCAACGACCATTGCATGGAGAAAGATTTAGAATCAGCTTGACAAAGATCCTTCACACCCAGCATAATCACAACGATAGTAAATAAGAAATAAAAACCCAGAAGCAACCAGGGCAAAGTTGCCATAATAGCTTTCCTGTCGGTGATGGTAATCAACGGGAAAAATAACGAAGATCTATCCATGGTCACCAAAGGAGTAACTTAAATTAAATAAGATGAATATCTATCCTATCTTCATAAATCTTGAGACAGGAAAGGGTTGCAAAATATGCAAGTTTGAAATTGGTAATTTCTTACCTGATAAAAAATATTAGAAAACTTTAGGGGGGAAATGTTTACCATAGTTCCTGCTGTAACTATCTTCTTCAATTTTAAAACTGATTGTTTTCAAACATCTTATAGATGCCCTATTTATATCTGTTGTTTTACATAGTGATTTTGATACATATTGAAAGAAACAATAATAATACTCTATAGAATAAGAATTTATAAGTTCAATAAGAAGGAACACAGGCTAATTTGATTTCAAGTCAAGTTAAATGTAAAGTTTTGAATCATAATGCTAGGAGCGTTATAGAGCTAGGCTGGAACTATTAGCACTAAGTTTGACTTGAACTAGATTAGATTATATATATAAGTCTTTTATCATATCACAGCCAATGCAGTTATTAAGACTCGTTATTTCAGTGACATAACATGTTACATTCGCCCAATACATACTAGAAGTCTAGAACATTTGGATATATTGGTAGCTGTGAGGTCTATGGTTATTCTGAGTGGATTGGCTGTGAGGTGTATGATATAACATGTTCGTATTCACACAAAAACACATCCTATAAGTCTAAAACGTCCGGAAATATTGGTAGTCGTGAGGTGTATGGTTATTTTGTGTAGATTGGCTGTGAGGTGTATGGTTATTCTGAGTGGATTGGCTGTGTGGTGTATTCAGATGAACTGAATATTATTATAGTATGCTTCATACAGGTTATATCGTCAAACTTCTACTCTCTCTTGTAGCGTCAGGCTGCTCATAACTAATTTATAATATTTATAGTTCAGTTCTAGAATCTTCTCTTTCAGCTACTTCCATCTATTTAGTTAGAGCATCAGCTTTTCAATTGTAACTAATCTCTGTATCTGCCTACTGCTGCATCCTCTGCTATAAGTACCAGCGGTATCAGTAGAGAGGCAGAACAAAAATACTCTTCAATTTTTAGAGAATCTGTCTTCGAAAACTCTCACTCTTTCTGCTTATCATTTTACCTAATAGACGTGATGTCGTGTAAACTGAAGATAATAATTTGTGATAATATTTGGTGAAAATATGATGTAGTGAAAAATTAGAAGCAAAATGCATGCATTGGCAAGACCAAATCCACAATTAAAATGGTGAGCTGTGACACAAGTTACTTATTATCTATTATCGGGTATTATAAACTAGTATGAGAGCCAAGTTTCTATTCACATTGCCACAAATCCAGTATTTCATGAATGATAGGTCTGTTAAGAGGACAGGGTTGAAAGGGAGAGTAGTGATTTTGGTGATAATTAGCAAATAGATTTTCCCAATTCTGAGGATAAAAAAATTATTATTTCAAATCTTAAACTAAAGTTTATATATAAATTTTGGGCAAATCTAACAGTAACTTCAATATTAGGATTTAGTTCTCATGAAAGTACATCGGAAGGGTGAGAGGACAGTAAATTTGGAATTTACCTGCATACAAATTATAGTAGCAACTCTAACCCTAGAGTACTGCACTCTACTCTCTTTAGCTGACCCATCTCCATCACTAAAATCTGAATCTGAAGATGTAACATTGATAGCAGAAGATTCACTATCAGAGATATATTGAAAATACGTTGTTCTATTGGGCTTCACATTTGAGCAGTCCTTTTTGCGCAAGTGTGGTGGCCGATATACACTATGATCTGACTTGTTCAGTTGATCCCTGTGTACCTTAGGACTTCCATAATTAAGATTCTTAGGACTTCCATAATTAAGATTCTTTTTCGTATGGCCAACTAGCAAAGTACTTGGGGTTCTACCAGAAAGTCCGTAATTTAAGAACATTCGCAGCACAGCAACAAAAACTGACACCTTGAAAAAAGCTCCAAGTGTCACAATGGTTAGGGATCAAGGTAAAACACATTTATTTGTTCTTTGCATTAAAATTATTAAAAAAAATAAAGACTTCCTTACATGCTCAGATACTGAACATTTAGCATCAGTAAGGATCAGATGCAGACAGCTCAGGAAAGATTCATAAAACCTGCAGAAAAGATGCATCAGAAACTTGTAGTTAATGACATATAGCCAAGGCATGAATCTCAATTCTCAATGAGTTGTATCATTGGCTTCTACTGAGATCTTCCAACAAACAGGTTACCTGGACATTGCATTATCTTCCACAACTGAGGTTTTTAATACCATGACATCCATTGTTTTTCTGACCACCTATTTCAGAAGAAACCAGTTAAAATATTTTGCTGGAGTTAATATACAAATTTTATAAGGAAATAAAAAGAAGTACTATATGCCTCAAACATTGATCTCCAGATATCAACTGGGAAAGATGACCCAGCTCTTGAGATTGCTTCGCCGAGCATCTCAAAAGATACTGCTTGTAGCTCACTTGAACTGCTTTCTGTGGAAAAACTCATATTAATCACAGCTGGTCTTTCTTTGTATACTGAACGAGGCATCCAAAATAACACACCTTGAGAGCTAACAATGACATGAAGTAGAAATTTAACTAGTATAGTATCTTCAGATTGCAACCATCTTCGATGCGGTAGAGTAATGATACATCTGGACAGGGAGCAGATTTTGTATAGGGTAAATTTAAAGTACCAACAAAAAGTTGAAAGGTGTTAACAAAAAAAATTTTGTAGATTAACATTAGAGTTTAATTGGTATGCACTATCGATGTAATAAATATACAAGATATTTCAGGAATTAATATATTATTTGATAAATTATGGTTGCGAGTATTTAAGTTTTTCTCATGTGTTCGCTGCTATAAATAACTGCAGCTTGTAATAGTGTCTTTTGGTCTTTGGTTAGTTTGTTAGAACGAAAAGTGCTACTAGGGTTCAAACTGGTTCAAACACTGCTTCATGATCTCATGGGTTCGATGCTATAAATAACTGCAGCTTGTATTAGTGCCTTTTGGCCTGAGTAAGTTTGTTAAAGTGTTAATGTGGGCTCAAACTCTGCTTCATGAGCTCAAGGTGGACTTCCTCCCTCCTGTTATTTACTGTGACAACCAAAGTACCGTTATCATGGCTCACAATCCAGTTCTTCATGCTCGAACTAAACACATGGAGATTGATTTGTTCTTTATTCGTGAAAAGCTGTTTGTTGTTCAGATTCCTGGCCCTGACCAAAAGGCAGATATTTTGACCAAACCTCTCTCCTCTGCCTATTTCTAAAGTTGCATAGCAAGCTCAACGTGTTAGGTGAATTGTGAGTGGTTAAAGTCCCACATCACCTATGATTCTATGAATGAGTAGAATTTTGGATTTATAGGAGAGAACCCAAATACTTGATACCTTAAGGTTTTGGGTGGAGATGTGGCGTCCCCCTTTCTTGTGGTCTTGGAGCATTGGTTTCATTAGTGCTTCCGGTCTCCCCAACAAGTGGTATCAGAGCCTTGATTCGGCTTGGTCGGGGAGTGGGAGTAGGATCCTGGGTTAGATCGTATTATAGGGTGTGGGAGACTCACACTTGTGGGGGAGATTGTTGGGTGCAACTGTAAGTGGTTAAAGTCCCACATAGCTTAAGGTTTTGGGTGGAAATGTGGCGTCTCTCTTGACTTAACTATAGCTTCTATTAGTGTCTTTTTGCCTTTGACAGTTTGTTAGAAAAATGCAAAATTAGCTATGGCAATTGTAACTTATAACTGCCTAAAAGCTCAATAGCTTGAGATGCAAGTTTGTTAGATTTGGGTGTATGTTTAACCCCAGATGAGTGTAGGACGAGCCTCCTATGAATTTTGTAATATGCTGTGAATTTTCAGTTAAGAGAAGATTCAAAAAGGAATATATGAATAAAGCCCTCACACTCGTGGTTTAAACAAGGAATTAATAGAACACTTCCATTGCTAATTAAAAATAATACCAAAGTTGAGAATCTAAATCTCATATGTATTAGAAAAGAGCTTGTGGAAACGAGAAACATGCTCTGTCTATTATGATTCTCAAATAAAAGCATTACTAACCCCAAACAGAAGACATAATTATACACTTATACTCATGAGTACAGCCAAAGTAAAATTGCAGCAAGAATATCAATTCATTTCAGGAACGTGAAATAACCTAATAGCATGCAAGCATTCAACGGCAGAAACAATTGCTGCGGCTCTGCAAATTCCAGTTAACTTATCCCCAGTAGCATCTTTTCCAAGAAACCTATCCAGCATCTTCCCGAAAGAACCAAGAACACTGCCGAAAGAGGAGCTATTTATGTCAAACTTAACTTGTCGACATATATCATGGACCTGCGAGAAGCCGGATCAATTATTATACTTATTAAATACAAATCAATCCTAATGTAAATAAATTAAATCAGAAAATTATAAAAAACTGAAAATAGAACTATACCAAGCGTGATGTTTGAGTATAGATATGAACACAGTCTTCTTCATCTGAAGAAGTAGCAGCAACCAATTCCATCAGAAACGCAATGTCCGATAAAATCTTAGAGACAAATCAAACGAAAAATCAGAGAAAGTTACGAAAAATCTAAAAACAATCAAATGATAATAAATCGAAGGCATTAATACCTCGTGAGAAGAAAGTTCGGGTGCTGCACTTAACAGAGTATGAGAATGAGAGAAAATAAGACTCTGGAGCAATTGAGCTGTGGAATTGCGAGGAGGATTCGTTAGGGTTTCGTCTCTCAGTGTTAAAAAGGCGGCTCTCCATGATCTAACCAGTGGCGTCGGGGCTATAGCGCCACCGAATCCCGTTCCCGCCATCAAATCTCCAAAACAGAGATTTCTAGGTTTCTAACTATAATGATAGTTCATCGCTCGTGCATTCGATGGGATCGTTGAATAATTCAGCAAACAACTGCGGCTTTGCACTCCGAAGAGGACGACGAATAAACTCAGTTTCAGACTGAGTTCCGATATTATTTTTACTTTTTAAATAAATTCCATACAAATTAAGAAAACTGATATATAAACCACTCATTACTCAAGTTACACCACCTGTCACCATTAAAATATTTAAAGCCACCTAAATAACCCTCTTTTTTCAACTCTCATTCAAATACTCATTCTATAATTGGTTGAAATATATGTGAGTTATATTATTTTATATAGGATTTATTTATAAAATGAGAGAATCACACATGTTTCAACCAATAAAATAGTAAATGTTTAAAAGAGTGTTGAAAAGGGAGGATTGCTAACACTCCTCTCCTTAAAATCCTTTTAACTAAATTGTTTGAGAATTTAAGTGTGATCCACTCCTTATCCTGGACACTCTTTGTATATTTTATTAATTTCAAAATTATTTTTTTGATAAAATTGAATCAAAATGTGAGAATTAAATTTTTGATACTTCATTGAAAATTTCTGGTAACATTTTAAAATTTTGATACTACATTTTAAAATTGTCGATACAAAATTGTTTTTAATGATAGGTATCTTTAAAATAATACCGGTGTTTTTAAGAAACACCATGGGATATTGAAATTTTTTTTTTAAAATGAAATTTTTGGTAATTTAAATTTTCAACGGTTATGATTTTGTCAACAGTTTTGTACGACGTGATTGCGTCGACCATTTTGTATGGTCCAAAATGAATCTCAAAGTTGTATAACTAAGTGTCATGTGGTCTTAAGAAAAACATCTTACAATACCTTAGTTTTTATTTAAGGCAGAAATGTATTTCAATGGGGTGAAACCTCCTGTAGAGTTTCGATTTTCGAAAGGGCAATGCACTTATCGTTGTCTTGAGATCCAATGGGGTGAAACATTCTGATTCTGTGAGATTAGTGGCACCGTTTGTGGGAAACCTTTTGCTCCCCCGTTCTTTCTCCTATAGAAGCATAGAAGCTCAAGAACCAAAGCAACATTCAACTTTTGTTTGATCATGGCCAACACACACAATGACAACGCTTCGGAAACTGCCTTCGCTCCATTCACCGACAGTGACGGCCACGACCCCAATGTAATTGTTCACGTCGAAGAGGTCGACTCCAGGGACGAGCACACCGTCTCTCCCTCCTCGGAAGACGCGACCTTCAACGTCACCCGACATTTTGATAGCCCGACTATCTACCAGCCAATCTCGGTGCCACCCAGTGCTGACCCGACCATGGTGGCTCTATTCGCGGCGATCAACCAGACCAATCTGATGATCTTCCAACAGAACAAGCGGATAGGGATGCTCGAGAAGGAGCGACAATCACATTCTCCCCCGCGGAGACATCGTCGCCCCGTTTTCAGCAGTCCCTCTCCTACCAAGCAGAGGACGCGACACGACGACTCTCTGAGCTCTTCTCCCCAACAGACTAGACGTCGTCCTCGCTTGGAGCGGCCTCAGTCAATGCCCACCCAAAAGCGCGACTGATCCCTTCCCTAGAAAGAGCGACGCTCCCCCACTCAAAAGAGGAATAAAGCTGAAGGAGGCGTCGAGAAGGCAAAGAGTTGGCCAAGAAGTCCTCCCCGACGAAACAAAAATGATCAAGGTGACATTTCCCCTTCTCGATCACCTGTCAAGAGCGACGAGGACAACCAACGCTCACCACTGTCCAGAGCCATTAGGGAGATTTCATTTCCCGTCGAAATGGAAACCCCCCTCCCCCTCGCCCTTGGCGACTTATGATGGTACTGCCGACCCGGACGACCATATTGAAAGTACCGATGCGATGCTCGACTATCGAAACGTCCGAGGAGCCATCAAGTGCAAGCTTTTTCCCACTACTCTAAGGAAGGGTGTTATAACATGGTACAAGCGCCTCGCTCCCGAGTCCATCACCTCCTGGGGCAAAATGAAGCGACAGTTCTCCAGGCACTTCACAGCATCCCGGTGCCATCTGTAGAGAGAGGCATCCCTGGAAGCCATCACCCAGGGAAAAGATGAACCTCTACGGAATTACATAGAGAGGTTTAACCGAGAAGCTGTCCAGGTGTCCACCTCAGACGACATGAATAAATTTTTGGTCGAGCGAGGACTTGGACCTTGCACCGACTTCGCCAAGGCCATCGGGATTGAAATACCCCACACCTTAATCGCCTTCCTCCTTAAGGCTCAATCATACATCCAGTATGAGGAAATAAAGGCCGCCCATTATGCCCGCGACACGCAGAATCAAGAAGGCGTTAGGGGCACCAGACACGAGGATACTGATGCTCCTCGAAGAGGCGGGGAAAGAAAAAGAGAGGACCGGCCCCGAGAACAAAGGGGGCCAGCAGGACGGTTCACTGAGTAAATGCTACTCACAGCTCCTCACGAGCGCATTTTGGCCGAGTGTATTAACTCGAAATTTCAGAGAGCTGGTGTCTATTTCCCGAAACTGACACCCCTAAGCCCAACGTCGACAAATCTAAATACTGTCGATTCCACCAGAGTCATGGGCACGTCACAGAAGATTGCACCACCTAAAGGATGCAATCGAGATCCTAATCAAGGAGGGGCACCTGAAACAGTACACCCGGAGAAGCGAGGCTCCTCGACAGGAAACCCACAAAGCCAAAAGGGTCGAGGAGGTGTCACCACCCTTTGAAGAAGCCAGGCTGCAAGTCACCCTATGTGTCTCCCAGCCAGAAGATTTTCTCATTCTCGGCGAGCCCGACACACTGATGTCCGCCTGTAGTACACGGGGGGAATTCCCTGCCGCATTGGCTATATCCGACGGGGGCCTGGCAAGCTCTCAGTCGGGTCGGTCAAGAAGAAATTCGAGGAGTTGATCGACAAGAGCTCGAAGCAGAGCGCCACCCTCGACAAGTTCAAAGGTCAATCAAACCTGATTACCTTCTACCTCGAAGAGCTGCTCGGGGATGCACCTAACTCCAGCATTCCCCTCTTGATTGGGGCTTAGATGGCGAATTTGAACTGCGTCGAATCCTAGTTGACCAAGGAAGTTTGGTGGACATAATGTACGCCCATCTGTTTGCTACCCTCCAGCTCGACGAAAGCCACCTGACCTCGTATGTCAGCTCCGACCTACAGGGCTTCAACAACACCATCACAAAGCCTTAGGGATATGTGAAGCTGCTCGTCACATTCGGAGCCGATGAGACCTCCAGACAAGTGAAGGTTCGCTTCTTGGTGATCGAATATCCGTCTCTGTATCAGTGCATCCTGAGAAGGCCGACTTTAGTTGAACTAACCGTAGTACCATCTATAATGCATATGAAGATTAAGTACTACACGACCAGAGGTCGAGTCGTCACCCTCCATGGCGACATCAAGGCGGCTGGGAGATGTTTCGAGGAGGAAATCAAAGGCCTCAGCTCAATCAACAACACCCCTAAGACGACCAGTACATCATCCCGGGCTGAAGAGTAGAGGCCACTACCTCGCATCAAGTCCGTCGATCTCGACAGCCACTTATCCAGTAAGTAGGAGCAAAGCGTAGAGTCTGAAGACATACCTCCAGTAGATAATGGAAATTCGTCCCATCCAACTCGCCCTATTCCAGATGGAGACTTCGAGCTTATCACGCTCGGAGATGACCCGGGAAAAGCGTGAAGATTGGCGCGGGACTCCTCGGTCTGGCAAGGAAGCAGCTAAAGGTCTACCTTCGGGAGAACGCTGACTTATTCGCGTGGAGTGCTGCTGAGATGTCTGACCTCGACCCCGACATAGCATACCACCACCTCACCATGGATCTGGCTGCTAAGGCCATAGTTCAACATAGGCGTAGGCAGTCTCTCGAGAAAGCGGAGGCTGCTGAAAAAGCTGTAAAAGACCTCCTAGAGGCAAATTTCATATCGGAAGCCCAGTACACAACCTGGATAACCAACGTTGTACTAGTTAAAAAACATAATGAAAAATGGAGGATATCCATTGATTACACTTATCTCAACCGGGCATGTTCCAAAGAAGCTTACCCGTTACCTAACATCGACAAACTCGTCGACAATTCTGCAGGTTTTAAACTATTGTCATTCATGGGTGCATACTCGAGGTACAACCAAATCCCCATGGCGAAGGCGGACAAACAATACACGACCTTCATGACCGAGTCGGGCAACTATTACTATAACGTAATATCCTTCGGTTTAAAAAACGTTGGCGCAACCTACTAGCGGATGATGAACAAAGTCTTCTGAGGAGAGATCAGGGACATGCTCGAGGTTTATATGGACGAGATGATCATGAAGTCACGGGAAGAAATCGACCATACCGCCCATCTCAAAGAGGTCTTCGAGACAGCGAGGAAGTGCAGAATGAGGTTCAATTCAAAGAAGTGCACCTTCGGCATACGGACAGGAAAGTTCCTCGGATTTTACCTAATGGAATAAGGAATAGAGGAAAATTCGAACAAATTCAGGGCTTTCTCCGAGTTCACCATGCTGAACACAACGAAGTTCATCCAATCCCTTAAAGGGATGCTCGCGTCATTATCTCGTTTTGTCTCCAAGTCTGCCTAACACGCCCTCCCTTTCTTCAAGCTTCTACACAAGGAGGCCTCATTCAAATGGACCAAGGAGTGTGAGCAGGCCCTCCTTCACCTCAAACAAATCCTCTCAGAACCACCGGTACTGTCGAGGCCCGAGGTCGGGGAAGCCCTGTACCTGTATCTTGTCATCGTTACTGAGGTCGTCAGTGCAACACTGATCCGCGAGACTCCCGAAGGGTAGAAGCCGATATACTTCATGAGAAAAGCCCTAAAAGGTACCGAGCTCAGGTACCAGTAGATCGAGAAGATCGTTCTGGCTCTCATCAATGCGGCCAGGAGGTTACAACATTACTTCCTGGACCACACAATCATGGGTAGAACTGACCAGCCCGTCAAACA